AGCGGCTGGGGAGGGCGGCGTGGGAGAGGACGCCGAGACGCAGGGGCAGCCACACAGAGGTGACAAGCTGCGCACCTGGAAAGTTACCCGGCTGTCTGGTGAGGTTCGCGGGCTGGGGGGTTTGGGCACTGGCACTTGTGGGGAGATACGCGTGTGCAAGCTGTGAGTGCGCTGCGCGGTGCGCGCCTCGTTCCCCACCCAGCCGGTCTCATGCTCGTGCTGACTGCGTGTGGATGTGTGCACGCGTTGCGTTCGCTCGGTGTGGCAGCGGTCGTTCGGTGTGGCACCTCGGTGTGGATCTCGGTGTGGATCTCGGTGTGGCAATAACAGCCTTCGCTGCTGTTTGGGCCTGGGGGCTTGAAGATGCTGTCAGGGTGCTTTGCTTTCCTGAGCTCTTGGTCCCTCTTAGGAGACCAGCACTCAGGCAATGACTTTTTTCCAAGTCCTTGTAAACTTGTGTGGGTGTCCTGTGTCACTCTGGGCACCCTGAGGCACTTGCACATCTCTGTATTTCTTGGTGAAGAAGAAACAAGAAAAAACAGAAGAAAATAGGAAATCAGCCGTTTTGGGGAAGAGAAATGGGTGCAAGTATGAGAAGAGTCATTGTGCAAATGCATAGCAGGTTGGGTCCAGAGTTGAGAATACAAAGAAACAAGGCAGGAGGAGTAGTTAGGCAGAAAGGATGAAGCCAGACAGATGCCTCGGTTTCCTGATCATCATGTTGTTCCTAGGGGCATTTTTTTTTTTCTTAAATAAAGGAAGAGAGCAACATACACCTGTTCCCCGCCACACCCCCATACATACTGTTCCTTAGGAATTGTCTCTTCTCTCTGCAAGTTTCTATTTAACTCACGGAGAAGGCGATCATCCCACATAACATGCAGCAGCTGTTGCCAGTATTCCTGTTTAGTTTTGCACAGGAGGGTATGAGCTGATATAGTGGAGAATTCTCTTTAGAGTCCTCTCTATTGGAATGCTGTGTAACTAAGAATAAGTGACATTCAAGGATGATGCCCTGGATCTGTATTGCGTTTCTCCCCTGCCTTCTCCCTACTTTTTTTTTTTTTTTGTACTAGGGTTTGAACCTAGAGGCACTTAACCACTGAGTCACATCCCTAGCCCTTTTTAATTTTTTTTTTTAAATTTTGAAACAGGGTCAAAATTGCATAGGTCCTTGTTAAGTTTCTGAGGTTGGCTTTGAACTTGCTATCCTTCTGCCTCAGCCTCCCTAGACCCTGGGATTACAGGCATGCACCACTGAGTCTGGCAGGAATGTTCCCCTTTTACATGAAATGTTGATCTCTGACACCCTGAAGTCAATAGAAGTGAGACCAATGAGAATTCACATAACAGTGAAGGCATGTGTTGCCTGGATATTGCGAAAGTCCTGTAATCCTATATTATCTGGCTTCCTTTGGATTATTTCTGTCAGTTATCCCTTCTTCTCCTATGTTTTAATTTCCTCTAATTTCAGTGGTTTATTATCCTGGGCTTATACATACTCTAATTTCTATCCATGAACCATGATACCATCTTGAAGTCCCTACCTAGCATCAGCTGTCTCTGTGGTCCTTTGTAATAGTTTCTATCCTCACTCTTTCTCTCCTACAAATAATATTCATAGGTGTTCCTAATATGTTCAGATACAACAATAGAGGCCTTCCTTTCTCTTTCCCCTGGGTGATCTCATCTGCTAATAGGACTTCAAGTCTTACTTCTGTGGAACAGTCTCTTACCTTGACTTTCATCTTTGTGTCTTGGTAGACATTCCCACCTTGACAACCCACAGGCATCTGAAATTCAACATTCTATAAATGCAGATCCATTAGTGTCTCCATAAAGTGTGTTCATTCTCCTTCCTGTAGTCAGTGTCATGATGGCTTGCTCACAGATGTGCTCTCCATGTCATGTTTATCGTGTTTGAATGAGTGAAAAATGTAGAGTGGAAAGTGCTGCCTTCCTTCAACATTTCCAAGATCAAAACATTGGAATTATTTTGTCTTCCCTTACATGCACACCCATTTATTTATGACATTGAGACTCAACCCTAAAGTGTTCCTCCTATCCTCTTCTTTGGATATTAAATTCTCTAATCCTTTTTCTCACTTTAATGAAAGCAAGAGCTACTTCTCACATATCTTTAGTTTTTTCCCAACCTCATATAGACTTATACACTCTTTCTCTCTTCATTACCAGTCTCCAAAGTTGAAGCACTTTGTCAACTTCACCTTTTACATGTGTCAATTGCTACATAATTTTAGCTTCTCAATTTCAAATTTTTTTCTAGTGTCTATTTATTTATTTATTTATTTATTTATTTATTTATTTATTTATTTAGGGTCCCAGGGATTGAACTCAGGGGCACTCAACCACTGAGCTATATCACCAGCCTTGTTTTGTATTTTATTTAGAGACAGGGTCTCACTGAATTGCTTAGAGCCTCCCTTTTGCTGAGACTAGCCTTGAACTTGCAATCCTGTGTCAGCCTTCCAACCCTCTGGGATTATAGGTGAGTGCCACTGTGCCCAGCTTGTCTCTATTACTGCTTATTAAACTTTTTTCTACCTTAAATTTCCACAGGTCCCTGAAACCGAGAATTGCCCAAATTAAACTAGAATCATATTCCTCAAGACTGTACCTCATTTTGTTTAATGCTATAACCTCTTACCCAGATGCCACATATGACCTTGCAAATCTTTCTTCTCTTTATTCCTATCACCACTTAAATTCTATGAGCTATCATCCCTGACCCACTCCTATGGAACTATATTTCTGTGTGTTTCCTATTTATCTGTCCATGTAGCTCCCCAAAATAACTGAATGGAATGCTACCAAATTTGGCAGTCAAAATATAGGATATGTGACATTCATAAAATTCACTGTGAACATTCTGCTAGGAGGAGGGATACTTCAAAGATAATGTTGGGGGTAGATAAAACTTTGGTACAATAAGCTCATATGATTGTGTTCCAAGAGAAAATTTTTCTCTGCAGGATACTGTGGACAGATGAAACAAACAGCAGGTTCAAAACTCAGTCAATAGTCACAAGTCATATGGACATCAGATTTTAATTGTTGCATTGATATAGAGTTTAGATGTTTCTTACAAGGGCAACTCTGTTTTCACTTCAGTTTTGAGGCGTGAATTTATATGTTCAATGATGGTTAATTATTTTCTAAAAGAACTATGGTGAGACAAGTTAATGGTAACACCACACTGATATGCATTAGTTTCATATATGCTTAGAATTTTATTTAGAAAGACAGTATAATCCACTCCTCTCATTTTAAGCTAAACGGTCCATATCACAAAGAAGGATCTTTTCTCCTTTATGATTTATCAAAAAAAGGAAGCTGCAATTACCTGTAGCCATAACTTTACGACATCCTTCTGATTACCATGGAGATGGTCCTTTTTTTCCCCAGTCAAGCTGACCAAGTCATTAGAATAGGGTTGGGACTCTGAACCAGCCTTAGTCTGGTACTTATCACCTCTTCCTTGATTGGTGCAATGGCCTTATAGTCTGTCTTATTTCCTCTAGGCTCATTTCACTCCATTCCATAATTATTTCCAAGAAAATTATCTTTTTACAGGACAGATATGACCATATAACTTGAAAAAAAAACTTGGCTTACATTAAAATCCACATCCCGTAACATGGCATATGAAGTTTTAGTGTCTCCCTCCAGTATCTTGCTTTTTTAGATTCATTACTCATCACTTTCCTTCCACCCATCATGCATTTTATCCTGTTCTCTGAATGTGCCATCAGCTTTCTTGCACTCATTTTTTAGTACATGTTCTTTTTTTAATTAATAGACTTTCTATTTTAAAGCAGTCTTAGTTTTATAAAAAAAAAATTGCTGAAAAGTACACAGAGTTCCTATATTCCTCCTCCACTGGCTTCCCCTGTTCTTAACATCTTGTAACAATGTGTTATATTTGTTACGATTGGTGAACCAATATTGACACATTACTATTAACTAAATTGCATAGTTTATATTCCGGTTTATTCCTTGTATTGCACTCCATGGAGTTTTGACAAGTATGTAATGACGTATATTTACCATCACAGTGTTACACAAAACAGTTTCACTGTCCTGAACATGCATTTTTGTTCCATCTACTCATCTCTTTTTCCCTCTCTCAGCCTTTTGGAAACTTCTCATGTTTTTACTGCTTATAAGTTTTGCATTTCCCAGAAAGCCATATAGTTGGAATCATACTATATGTAGGCTTTTAAGATTTGTTTTTAAAAATGTCCAGTAAGGCATTTAAAGTTCCTCCATGTCTTCTCATGGATATACTTTGTATTATTGTATAATATCCTACCGGATGGCTGTACTACCATTTGTTTATTCCTTAACCCAAACTAAGGTCGTGGTTGCTTCCAAGTTTTAGCAGTTATGAATGAAACAGCTATAAACATTCATGGGCAGGTTTTGGTGAAGACTTACATTTATTATCAGTTGGATAAAAAACAGAAGTAGGATTAGCTTTGTAAGCAGCTGCCATCTTGTCTTCCAAAGTGGCTGTATCGTTTTACTTTCCCACCAGCAGTGAATGAGTTTCTGCTGCTGCCTATCTTTGCCAGCAGTTGATGATGTTGGTGTTTGGGATTATAGCCATCCTAATCTGTGTATAGTAGTATCTTATTGTTCATTTAATTTTCAAATGTCTTCATGACATATGATGTTGAGCATCTTTTCATATGCTTATTTACCATCTGGGAATCTTTGGTGAAGTGTCTGCTCAGATATTTTGCCCCTTTTTTTTTTTCAGTTGAGTTGTTTGAGTTTTGATTGTAGAATGTTAAGAATTTCTCCTGTATTAGGTAGGTGTTTTGCAAGTGCTTTCTTCCAGTCTGTAGCTTCTTGTTTTATTTTAATTCTTCTTTTTTTTTTTGCAGAAGAGAAATTTTTAATTTTAATAAATTCCAAATTATTAATTTCTCCTTTCCTGAATTGTTCTGTTAGATTTTTACCTAAAAAGTCATCACTTTTATGTCTGTCTTCTAGGATTTTTATAGCTTTGTGTCTAATGTTTAGGTCTATGATCCACTTTGACCAAATTTTTGTAAAAGAGGTAAAGCCTCTC